AATAAGGAGAACTGATTCATGTCCATGCAGATATGGCGTGTTGCTCAGTTTTGATCCACCACTGTTTCTTGTTTGAACCCACCAGATTTGCCTCATAGATAACACATGTCAGGTCGAGTGACTCTTCATCTTTAGTAACGACGTGTTCCTGATTCGTCTATTTTTTTCTTTTCGGTGCCTAGCAGTCTATCGAATGGTGTCCGACCTTTCCGCAATTAAAACACAGTTACCCTTGAAGGTACTTTTTGCCTTTTCAATGCCACTAGATGGCTTCAGCTTCTCTTTTCCCTTGTCCGTTGACTTCCAATTGTTTCCAAGCTGCTCATTGTTCCTCGGAGCCGTCTTAAAACGAGAGCCTTGGCCTTTGTGCTCGACTACATTGGCCTTGCTGCCGAGTATCGGATGTCCCCTGCTTGCCAGGTTCGATCTATGATCCTCTCCAGTTTGGAGATGATTAATCATTCTCGCCATATCCATTTCCTTGTGTTTGTGTTTCAAGTAAATTTTGAAATCACCCCAACTAGGTGGCAATTTTTCAATTATCGTCGCTACTTGGAAAGTTTCACTAAGCTCTATCCCCTCGGCTTGGATCTCATGCAGAATCAGCTGAAACGCATTAAGTTGTTTCGTAACGCTTTTTACATCCACCATTTTGAAATCAAAAATTGTCCGACGATAAATTTATTTGCACCAACATCCTCTGCTGCCATATTTTAAAATTCTGCCGATTGAATTTTTTAGGTTTATCAGCTGCCGCAGCAACAGGCTGCCTTAAAGTTGCAGCAACAGACTGCATTAGATGGTCCGTAACAACAATAGGCTGTATACCCTCCAACTCATCTAGTTGCTGTCCGGCAGACGTAACGAGACCCTGCGCCAAGTCCTATAGCCGTACGTTGTGGATGAGGCAGAACAACAGCAGGCTGTTTCAGTCAGGCCTCAACAGGATGCCGTTTCTGCAATTTAGCAACAGGCTGGTTGAAAATCGCAGCAACAGGCTGCGCCCCTTCCATCGCGGCCTTTGAAAGTCTTTGTAAGCTACCTTCATAGCCTTTTCCACAACAGCCTTCCTGGTCGCTCGCGCGCTTCACTCCTGCCAGCTGCGATTTCAGTGGCTTCACCGGTTGTGCGGGGTGGTTGCGATTCTAGAACAGTAGGAGCAGGAGTGTGAGACTCGCTGGAATTCACCTCCTCATTCTCGTATCCGTCCTGACCAATCTAAATGTCATCATTCAGATTTCTATCAGGATCATTCATTGTTTCGATCATCGCCTCTACTGTATGTACATTTTGGGCATCCATTATCTAATTGTGGATCTGAGAAATTTCGTTTTAGTCACGGATCTGATTTTCATAATTAGTTACGTTTTTACGGTATGTAGAATTTTTTGAAATTTTTATTGTTCCTTATTGAAAATTATGAAAATTTTATTAAAATATTTATTTTTGTTATTTTTCAAATATTTTGTAAGAAAATTTATATATTTTTAATTAAAAATATAAATATTTTTTTTCATTAAAAATAGTATGAATTTTTAAAAAATAATGAATTTGTATATGTATTTTTATTAAGTTAATTTTTAATTAATTAATTTTTTTATTAAATTTATAGTTATAAGTACAATTATTGAATATATTTATAAATATTAAAAAATTATGTGATAAAAATATATAGTATATATAATAAATTAATAATATTAATATTTTTTATTGCCTTTATTTAAACAAATCTAAAAATTTTACAAATAAAACAATTTATATATAAAAATAATAATTTAAATTAATTTTAAATTTATAAAAGTAAATTTATAGTTGATTAAAAGAAAATATATTAAAATAATAAATAAATATTACAATAAAAATTATATTAATGTCTAAAATGAATGAATTGTTTTAAGGATAAATTATAAATTAAAGAAATTAAAACAAAATACTATTCTGAAATACTGAAATTAATTTTTTGAAACTAATAAGCTATTGGAACTAATAAGTTATTTCAAAAAGTTAATTTACAATATTTAAATTAAATTTTTTATTCGTCAAACAACTATAAAAGTTATTTAATAAGCTAAAAGCTTTCCAAAATATTATTTTTCAAACACCCTCATGTATATATATTAGTTTTTACTTTAAAATACTAATTAAACCAAACGAATAAAAACAATAATATCATAATTTATTATTATTAATTCATTAAACTAAATCTTATTACCTTAAATAAAGTATTTATGTAATCTATGAAAAAGGACCGCAATCAAATTTCTATATTCATCTCAATTAATTTAGAACAGTACAACACAAATATATTTGCAATTGGAAGAAAATGAGAGAAAGGGCCTAAACCAAAGACAAAAGAGAAGAACCTAACCAAAGGCAAAAATAAAGAATAAATTAGGTCCAACCCAAAGCTCCTTTTGGGTGTTTAGCTTCTGTATCTTGACACCCCTCCCTCGCTTCGAGCATGGGTTCACACATCTTTGAGCGAAGTTTGGAGAAGCTTAGTCCCCCTAATGATTTTGTAAACAGATCTACCAGTTGATCAACTCCTTTGATGAAGCTTGGCTTGATAAACTTCCTTTCATAATGGTGTCTTACAAGGTGGCATGTCATTTCTATATGCTTGGTACACTCATGGAATGCAGAATTTTTGGTGATATAGAGTGCTGCTCTATTATCACAATACAATGGAATTGGTGTTGTGACTTTGATTCGTACAGCTTCAAGCAAGTATGATAGCCAAAGTAGCTCACACATAGCTGCACTCATGCTCCTATACCCCGCCTCTATAGTAGATATACTTATGGTAGATTGCTTCTTTGCCTTCCAAGACACAAGATTGTCACCAAGGAATACACAATACCCGGTGACTGACTTTCTTGTATCAATACACGTTCCCCAATCAGCATATGAGTAGGCCTCAAGGTCGATTGAACTGTGGTTCTTGTAATGGATTCCATAATATTGAGTCCCTCTAAGATATCTCAACACATGAAGGGTTGCTCACCAATGACTAGTAGTTGGCCTTAACATGTATTGGCTCAACTGTTGTGTGGCAAAAGTAACATCAGGTCTTGAGAAATTGAGATAGAATAATCTTCTAATGAGTTTTCTGTACAAACTTGGATCGGCGAGAGGTGTTCCTTCTGAAATAGACAGTTTCAAACCCGATGGCAAAGGAGTACTTGCAGGAGCTGTTTCGGTCAGCCTTAAGTCCTCAAGTATATCAAAGATGTATCTTTGTTGAGATAGAAAAAGCCCCTGCTCAGTCTGTTTGATCTTAATGCCCAAAAAGAAATTAGCATCCCCTAGATCCTTAATTTTGAATATTTCATTCAGGTATTGCTTGACACTCTCAATCTGTTCAACAGATGACCCTATTAACAAGATGTCATCTACATAAATTGTTAAGATCATAATCTGATTATCCTTGCAAGCAATGAAAAGGCAATGATCATGTGATGATTAATGGAAACCATACTCCTTAACCTTTTCAGAAAGAGTTTTGAACCAAACTCTAGGGGCTTGTTTTAGCCCATACAGAGATTTTCTCAATTTACATTTTTGATCAGCTTTGAGAAAGTATCCTAGTGGAGCTTGCAGGTATATTTCTTCTTCAAGATTTCCATGAAAAAAAGCGTTGTTTACATCTACCTGTTGTATACACCATCCTTTTAAAACAGCCAAGGCAAGCATCAATCTAACAGTGGTTGCTTTTGTAACAGGAGCAAAGAGCAAAGCAGTCCCCATAATCTTTACCTTGCTCTTGTAGATATCCTTTAGCAATAAGTCTTGATTTATACTTGGTTATTTCGCCTACCTTGTCCTTTTTAATCTTGTAAACCCATTTACATGCTAAAGCCTTCTTACCCTTGGGAAGTTCCACCACATCCCATGTGTGGTTCCTTTCCAAGGCTTCCAACTCTTCTTGCATTGCCTTGACTCATAATGGATCAGTTATTGCTTCATTGTAGGTGCAGGGTTCTTCAGCTTCGTCATTGCAAATGCACACGTAGTCTTTCATCCAATTTGGTTTCCTTGTTACTCTGTTTGGCCTCTGTAAGTCACCTTGGCCTTCATCATTTCTGTCGTGACTATAAGTTTCTTTACTTATGTCAATTGGTGAATTATCTAAATCAATAAGATCTGAGTTAGACAGCCTTGCATGCTATGAGAGAGATAAATCATTATCTTCATGAGTCCTAATAAAGCTTTACTGTCCTTTGAGTGAGTCATCATCGTCATGTAACCACAAGTTTGCTGGTGACTAACAGCTTTTAGAGGTAAATCCAACCTTGCTTTCTGTAGATACTCCCGGCAGAATGTGCTCATTAAAAAGAATATTCCTGGTTACAAGAAGTCTTTTACTGGATGGAACAAAAACTGTAGCCTTTGACTCCTTTCTCATAGCCCATGAATAAAGCCTTAATGCCCCTACTATCAAATTTATCTTTATGTGGATCTGTGTTGTATATAAAACATTGACACACAAACACCTTCAAGTGATCAATCTCTGGCTTCTTTCCATACAACACTTTGTGGGGAGATTTCTACTTTTGAACAGGTCTAAGCAAGAGGTTTATCAAGTGTGTAGCTGTTAGAAGAGCTTCTCCCCAGAAATTTGTAGAAAGCTTGGCATGATAGAGTAGAGCCCTTGAAGTATTTAAAAGATGTTGATGTTTCCTTTCTACCCTTCCATTTTGCTAAAGTGAGTAAGGACATGTTCTTTGATGACTTATACTATGCTCCTTCAACAATTTTCTGAATTCAAATGAAATGAACTCACCACCATTATCACTCCTTATACTTTTTATTTTAACATTGAACTGAGTTTGGACAAGCTTAATGAAAGCTGCAAATATCTTGGTGATTTGAGATTTTAAGTTCATCAAGTATGTCCAGGTGCTTCTGCTATGGTCATCAAGGATGGTTAAAAAATATCTAGCACCAGTTGATGTAGGTAAATGATAAGGACCCCACACATCAACATGAACCAACTCAAAACAGTTTTTGGCATTTGATAAGTTGTCATTAAAGGGCAAGTGTTTCATCTTTGCCATATGGCAAATATCACAATTCAAATCATCATTATTGCAATCACTTGAATCGGAAAGTAAATGCTGCAAAATTCTCTGGGAAGGATGTCCTAAACGCTGGTGCCAAGGTTGAACCTCCTTCACAGCACATATGGTGAATTCAGAATTCGTCTTTAGATGGTATAGATGACCCTTATTGACTCCTTTCCCCACCAACTTCCATTCCTTAGGGTCCTTGATCAGGCAACCAACCATCATGCATCAAAATCACAACAAGATTAGAACAGAGACAAAGCCTACAGATTGATATTAGGCAGTACTTGAAAGTGGGTATCAAGTATACATCAAACAACACAATATGATCATTAATTCTCATAGTACCCGAGTGTGTGGCAACTTGTGTTGATCCATTTGGCAAAGCTATATAGACAGGTCTGTCAAGCTTGGAGAGACTATCAAATAGATTTTTGTCATTTGCAACATGACAAGTTGCCCCACTATCTAGTATCCATCATTTGTTCCCAATAGATGTATTTGTGACATTTAAACAGAATGTACCTGAATAATGGAAATCAAACAAGTTTGCTTGTTCAATAAGAGACTTCTTCATTTCAAGGGCCCTTTGCACTTCTTTCTGAACCAGCTCACTAAAGGCTGCACTGGTTAAAGAAGATGAATTAAAGCTGTGTGGAGTGTCATTAGCACACAAAGTCATCTCTGCAATGTTAAAAGGTCCGTTTTCCTTCCTCATTTTCTCCTGTAAAGCCTTGAACCAGTTAGGTGTTCCATGGAGTTTGAAGCATTCATACTTTAAGTGCCCTGTCCTTTTACAATAATCACATACAAGACCCTTCTTGTCCATCTTCTTTTTATCAAAACCTTTACTGACACCCCTATCATAGATTTTACTAGAACCCTTTGCTGCAATGAACAAAACAGCAGGAGATGGATCATTCATAGCTAGCAACCCATGTGCTTCCTGCTGTTTTTCAGCACTAGACAACATTCCATAAATTTTGTTGAAATGAGGCAAGGGATCCATCATAAGGATTTGGCTCCTAATAGCATCGAAAGCCTCATTGAGTTCCATTAAATAGTCAATAGCATCATTCTTAGCTATGTACTCCGCATTTTCCTTTTTAGTTTCAGGCACAAGAGATAAACAAGCCAATTGATCTTTATATTCCTGCATTTTATTAAAGTATGCAGCCATAGTCATGTTACCTTGGTGCAAGTTGGATATGGCCTTCCTAAGTCGATAGGCTTGTAGGGCATTGTACTGTCCATAGAGATTCCTCAAAGCTTCTCACAAGTCAAGACTAGTGTTGTACAATCCAAAAGCAGAATGTAAGTGAGGAGATATGGAGTTTAGCAACCAGTTCAGCACCAGGTCATCTACACGTTTCCATTGTTCTGCAGCTGCTGGATCCTTAGGAATTGGAAGATCTCCAGTAATGAAGCCTTTCTTACCCTTAACAGACAGTGCCCTCAACACACTCTTACTCCAGAGTATGTAATTGGTTTTAGTCAGAGGCTGATTTAGTGTGAGCGTAGTCACTGTTTGATCAACATTTGAAATTTCCAGATTTGCCATTCCAGATGAAATTTCCGCAGAGACTGAGGCACCTCTGAGAATGAGACTCATCACAGTTGAGGAAAGAGTAGATGGATCAGTTGCCATCGTCACAACTTAAATTTCTAAAGAAATATGAAGGAAAGCAAGAAGAAGATGACCGAAGAGAAGATTCAGGTCACCGAAATCTAGATAAAAAATGATCGGAAAACTAACTAACTAACTACTTACTCACTCTGATACCATGAAAAAGGGCCGCAATCAAATTCCTCTATTCATCTCAATTAATTTAGAACAGTACAACACAAATATATTTGCAATTGGAAGAAAGAGAGAGAAATGGTCTAAACCAAAGACAAAAGAGAAATGGCCTAAAACCAAAGACAAAAATAAAGAATAAACTAAGCCCAGCCCAAAGCTCCTTTTGGGTGTTTAGCGTTTGTATCTTGACAATCTATACCATATGCATGGCCGTAGTAGAGCGGTAATTAGTAAAAGTGTGATCAAACAAACTAATAAAAAAGAAATAGGAAAACAAACATATGTTCCACAGCTTTGCAAAAGGGTATATTTTCTTGAAAATTTGTACAGTAAAAACTTTTTTTTATCAGTCAACACCCTATACTGAAAAGTAAGTCTGTCGGATTTTGAAAGATTGTCTCACCTAAAAGTTCGAACTGTTAGGAAAACGCAACCATTAATTATCTATCCGCAAACGGGAGTCCTAACACGCCCCCTCAAGAACTCAAAATCTAGTTTAGGCTCTAATACCATGTCAGATTCTGAATGACCGTCTCACCTAAAAGCTCAAACTGTTAGGGAAACACAGTCATTAATCATATATCCACAAACTGGAGTCCCAACAAAGTCTACGCTGCAAAACTTATCTTAGTAGAAAGAGTTTCGGCGATTTTATTTTCATATACGGTCATTGTAAATTTTTGAAATAAAATGCTAAAGGAGTACACCAAAAGTATTTTGTAAAGAGGAAGAGATTTAAAAGCACACAAAGTGAAAATGTTAAAGTTCTTATTCATTCTTGTCATTTACACATTTTGATAATTTATTCAAAAGAACACTTGGCAATAATATTCAATATATTTCAAGGAAACAAAATTGTAAAAAATTGTATAAGCAAATAATGATGTAAGGCAAAAGAAAACAACAAGGCTTCAGAGGTAAAAACATATACTCCCACAATGAAGGCGAGAGAGGTAAATACAAATACTCCCTCCACCCCATATAACTTGCTCGGTATATTGTAGATACGAAATTTTAAGGAATAACAATTGATAAATAATTAATAAGTATATTGATAAAAATAAATAAAAATAATTATATATTAAAATAATTAATTAATTTAATTAAGATTAAAAATTTTAAATTATAATTAAAATATATAATTTTTTTTTAAAAAAATGACTAATTATGTCTGATAAATCGAAAAAAAAAACTCGAAAAATTATATAAAATGGAAAGAATTAAAATTTATTTAAGAAAATAGAGCATCATCAATGAAAAATTCGATTTTTTTAGATAGAAGTTTTTTGAGATTTTTGAAATATTGGAAGTTTGAAAAAAAGAAAAATTTAGTATTTGATCTGATGTTTTGTGAGAGAAAAAGTGTATTTGATGTGATATTTTTTTTTGAAAAATAAATAGTGTCAAATGAGTAAAAATGTGTTGTGTAAACAAAGCTTTACTCATCATCTATAATTTATTAACTAGTGTAACTTGTTATATTAAACCTAATTTTCAAATTTTAAATGGATTAAAAGTTTATCAAATTTTCAAACAATTATGTGTTGCACATTTGTTTGGTTGATTAAAAATTAATTTGAAATGAGTTCTATAAGGGATGACCTAGTGGTGTGGGGGTGGACGTATTACCGTGATGTTATGGATTCAAACCCTCGATGTCTCATGGTTCGTCTGGTATGACTTACCTTATTAGGCATAATTTGCGATGTATTAGGTTCGGCCGGGGGTGGAGCTGTTAAACAAACCGAGCCGTTCGTGAACTCGATTCGGCTCAATTCGGCTAGGTTATAGCTCGTTCGCGAACGTTAACGAGCCGAACCAAATAACATAAACAAGCTCGTTTGGTTAACGAACGAGCCCGAGCTTTGTTCGCAGCGTTCGTTTAAATAATATATTTATTATAAATATTATATACACATATAAAATTATAGTTTATAAATAAATAAAATATTAATATAAAATATATAAATAAAATAATTTTAAATTTTCTTTTTAATTTATATATAAATTTAAAAAGTGAGACAAACGAGTTTGAACGAACTCGAACGAGCTTAATCGAGCCTAAATGAGCCGAACACGAACACGAGCTCAAACAACAAAAACTCTTAACGAGCCGAGCTCGAACACTATGAACGAGCTCGAAAGCTTAACGAACGAACACGAGCCTTGTTTGCGAATGTTAACGAACACTTCAAATTTAGCTCGGCTCGGCTCGTTAATAGTTCTAGCCGGAGGTTTACCGAGTGCGCACTTTCAGGTAGCGGGTGTGGTTCCCACGTCATAAAAAAATAATAAAATAATTTGAAATGATATATTATATTTTAATTTTTGATTAAATATTATTTTCATTTGATATTTTATAAAAAAAATAATAATATTTTTTTATTTAAAACTGTACGAGATTAATAATATTAATTTTTATTTGAAATGCTAAAAGAGCAGTATAGTACTACAAAAGAGATGAAAAAACCAAAACAATTACTCCCTCCGTCCCGAAAAAGAGCATCGTTTGTTTTTTGCACGTAAATTTTTGAATATTAGTATCATATTAGCTTGTAGTAAAAAAGACGAAAATGCCCCTATTAGTATGGTGTGTTATAAAAGTGATAACATTTGTATAGTATATTGTAAGTTGTAATGGTATTTATTATGTTAGGTAGACAGTACAGTTACTAAATTAGAAAATGGTACCCTTGTTGTGGGACAGATAAAAATAATAAATGGTACCCTATGGGACGGAGGGAGTATTTTATTTGACAATTATTTCTACTATTTTATTATTATTATTATTATTATTATTATTATTCAACCATTACCATTCTTATTAAAATATAATATTCCTACATATTCTATTTGTTCCAAAACAAGAATATTAAAGTTGAAAATTTTTAATTGAATAATAACTAAGGGCTTTTTTTTTTTTTTGAGGAATTAGAGTGATTAAATACTTAAATAATACCAAATGCAGTGCCAAAATGTTTGATAGTGAAAAAAATTGAGGAAGGAGAAGAAAGCACGAAAATATAATAAATTGCAGGAAATAAAAAAATAATAACTTTGATTGAGAAGTTAAATCTGAGTTTTACAATGAAACATCAACATATTTATAGAATCTAAACAATGTCTTATGAATCAACACGACGTGACAATGCAAAGAGATGCAACTATTCGATATAAGAAATAACCATTATTATATTATTTTCTAAGTTATTTTCTAAAATTTTTAATTTAGAAACCTTCAACTTCCTCTAATAAAATAAATGAAAATAAATATAATATAATAATTTAATTAGTTGAGGTCTCTCCTTTTGTAAATATGCCAACACTTTTGTAAATATATCTAAACGTATATCCGGCCTTTTAAAATTATAAACACTCCCTACCTTCGTAAATCATATCTGAAGATACCCCATAAATTAAATCTGACAGTGCCCCACCTTCTGAGAGATAAATCTGACAGCACTCAAACTATCTAAAATATATATATGGCAACGCCCCGCCTTCTGGAAAATAAATCTGTCTGGGGCCAATGTTCCGCCTTCTTCAAATATGTCCAGGCCTTCGTAAATATTTATGATTACGCCCGGACCTCCTGAAATACACGCCAAAACCTCCTGAAATACATGCTCATCATTCTCCAATCATCTGACACTGCCTGCACACCTATCCCATCGTCGTGCCTTCTATCCCGACAGATTATGTATCAGCCCGACAACTTTCGCATCGGTGGAGACGGCTTGCGCATCAATCTAGACGACTCCTGCACTACCCCGGGAAACTTCTACAATAGTCCGAGTTATTTCTTCATTAGTTCAAATGACTTCTGCATTGCATCTGTCTGGGCACTAATGTATTCTGTTTGGGCGCCTCATCTAGGCATATTACGCTCGCTCTGTGGTTCCAACTGCTCATCACGCCTGATGTTAAGTTGTGATAATCCGTTATTAATTTTAGGTAATAACACATTTTTTAATTTCGTTAATGTACTACCTATCTAATATAATAAATACTTTTATCATTTACAATATACTATCGTTACTTTTATATTATACAATAGTAATAGAAGTATATTTCTAATGTGAATAAAAATTCTCCTAAGTTATTTTGACATAGAACTAATGGTGTCTTAATTTCTGCAACAAAAACTTTCTAAAAGACAAAAGACATATTTGAGAAAATGTTAAAGCATGGAAACTCATTCCTTCCATTTCGGTGCAAATGGAAATTAATGTAGAATCTTTTATTCCACAAATGTGAATAGGGATGTCAACGGGGCGGGTTCGGGACGGGTTCTGCAGGCCCCGAGATCCGCCCCGCTAAAAAATATTAGGCTCCGAGACCCGCCCCGCTCCGCTTCCACCCGGCCCCAGGACCCGTGGCAAACCCGTGTTTTTTAAAAATATATAATAATAAATATTTTTTAACAATTGAATACTAAAACAAATAGCATTAAAAGAAAAAAAAAATCTAAAAATAATCAAATATTGATCCATAAAAATAAGATAAATAAATAAATAATATATTTTTATTATATAAATATACATATATTAGGTATAATAATTTTTAAAAATTATTTGGACCAGACGACTAATTGAATTTTATATTTAAAATTATTTAAGTAAATAAATAATATATTTTTATTATATAAATATACATATATATTAGTTATAATAATTTTAAAAAATATCTGAGTTCGGGTCCGGGTCCGGGTTGGAGCGGGTTTTTAGTAAAACCCATAACCCGCCCCGAACCTTGTCGGGTTTAAAATTTTAAATCCACAACCCGCCACGAAACATATTATTTAGACCCGAACCCGCCCCATTAAGAGCGAGTCCAGGGCTAACCCGCACCATTTGACATCCCTAAATGTGAATGATTTATTCAACCGGATAGGATTGAAGATCGGTGATGAGTGATTTGGAGATTATGCTTTAGAAAGAAAAATGTTGAGTGAAGCTCTAACCGTCTATCCATATCGATTCTCCTTAGTTTGAATGAGTTTTTGACACAAAATCTGCCGGAGTGGTCGACGGCGATTGGAGTTAAAGGAATTCCAACCAAACTTTGAGCGGCTCTACTATATGGTTGTTGTCAATACACGTTTGTGAGAACGTGAACCTGTGAAGGTATTTTCCAAGGCAGACCATGATAGGAGTTTGAGTTGAAGGAGTTGTGATTGTTTATACTCTGTAATTAGCACTAATTAGTAAAATATCTTTTGGATTGGAATCCTCCGGATGTAGATTGGTTGATAATCGAACCGGGTCAACAAACACCTTGTCTCATGTGTTGTTTTGTGTTCTGCATTTTATTTGTTGTCTAGGGGTTATTTTAATTGTGAACTGACTACGCTTCGAGAGTTGGCCTTTTGTTGGTGTTCGAAGAAGATTTGTTCGATACATTACTTCCCAACATCTATTATTGTTATGGAACAAAAGAAATCATATGCTGGTAACCTTTATAACAAATATTGATCCGATCAAATCAATATCATACTAACTTGATCCGATCTATTATAATATCAAAGAACTACGGTTAAGAAATAAAATGAAAATAAACTCACCCCTTAACAAACAAACCGATAATATATGAATATATAGTAGTAATTACTAGTGCACAGTGTGGTGTCTGCCTGTCAGTAAAACTAAACTACAGCAAACAAAACTAAACTAAACTAAACTTTTGGTGAAGGAGGTGAATGGCAAAATTAAAGAGAGCAGAACAGAACATATCAGATCAGATCATATATACACGAGGAAGATTGAAATGGAATTATGAGGGTAACTGTTACTGTAAATTGCAATTGGTTGTTAGAGTAGATTAGACTAGACTAGACTAGACATTAATAGTTATATACTCCAATAATTAGTATTAGGGTATGTAGAGCTTATCCCCACATTTGCATCTCCACGCCTCCGGGTAGTACTCCATCGTCACCGGATTATTCCCCGGCGGCACCGCCACGTGCACCGCCTTGCACGGCGAGCATCCGCCGCACTTCCACGCGCACCGCGGCGGCGACGATCCCAGGCCCCCCAGAATCCTCCTCCTTCCATCCCCATCCCCTTTTGAATAATAATAATACTCTTCTTCAACGCTCTCACTCTCTACCTGCTGCTGCTGCTGTATCACAACAACAAAAATAATAATAATAATAATAATAATTCAAACCAAAGCCAAAATCAAGCAATCAATCAGTGATACAGAATTTGATCTGATCTGATCAACGCGTCTTAATTCCTTCTTGACGAGTGCCATTCAAATTTCAAAGCTGAATCAATAGTCACCAAATTTTCTATTCCCAAATTTCCTATTTTATCTATTCCAGCAAAAAAAATTACGACACACAGTGAAAAAAAAAAATAAAAAATATATATGAATATAATTTAAAATTTATACATTTCAAAAAATTATATTTTTATTACTTATTAATTTTCTTTTCTTAAAATTAATTATTATTTTTATTATTATATTATTTAATTGTAAAAATATAATTTATTTATTTTTTAAAAATATTACTGTAAAATTCCATTTAAATATAATTTTGTGAAAAAAATATTACACAAATTCTTATTTAAATGATTTTAATGTAACATTTAATTTTTTTAAAATATATATGTAATATGATATTTTGTAAAAAATAATATAATATATATAAGAATAAAATAATAAATTCCTTAATAATATAAAATTATATTTAAACAATAGTTGATATGATATTTTTTTAAAAAAAAAACAAATGATAAATTAATATAATAATAAAAATAAAAATTAATTTGAGATATAATTTATATTTATAGTTTTAAATAAACAAAATTGATAAATAACAAAAATATAATTTTAAAATAAATAAATTTTAAATCTTAGTCATATTCTTTTTTTTTCCTCTTTCATGTGTGGTAACTTTATTTGTTGGAATAGATGAACAGAGAGATTTGAAAATAAAGATTTGGTCCAAATAAAAAAGGGCACATATCAGGCCGCTCAATTTCCAATATAACCACAAACACCTAGCTAGGCCCACTTTGCTAACTTGACCTAATGGGCCTCCAAGGCCCATTTCTTGATGGATCATAAATGGGCCGCCACAATCTCAAATAAAAATAAAAATAAAAATAAAAATAAAACAAAACAAGACAAAGTAGAGTGAGAAAAAGGGTGTTGGTTATGACAAGAATCACGAGCGAGGCGCAGTAAATTACAAAAGTAATTAAAGAGTTTGACATGGTATTTGCTTTGGTAGTGTGATTTAACAGTGGGTCAGAGAGAGCTGGAGTTGATAATGCTGACAAAATTATCTCTGCATCCCTTATTGCTAAAATTATTTGTCTCTTCGTTTTGACAGAGGTATTTGGAAGATTTTGAAATTTTGAAAGTTTTAAAAAATATAATAATAAAAAAATAAAAAATTAGTATTTAATTTGATATTTTGTGAGAGAAAATAATGTATTTGATGTAATGTTGTTTAAAAAATAAATAGTATTAAATGAGTGAAAATCTGTTTAAAAACAAACCTTTTATTTCTCCAACCAAAACTCTTCTATTATTATTATTACTCCCTCCGGTCTCATAACAAAGTATATTTTTTTTTATTTTAGTCTGTCCCATAATAAAGTATCTATTTCTTTTTTTTTTTTAGTAATTGTGCTATCTACCTAACATTACAAATACCTTTACAATTTACAATATATTACACAAATGTCATTACATTTATATCACACAATACTAATAAGGTTATTTTAGTCATTTCTATTATATTCTTACTACATTCCAATATAATAATAATATTTCTAAAACCTCGTATAAAAAGTAAATAGAAACATAGTTATAGACGGGGGGAGTATTATTTTCGAACGACATCCATCATGTGGCCAAAGGCAGTCATCAAAAGCAAAATACTAACAAGTGTGTTCTTTTCATGAGTTTAGAAAAAAATTGATTTTGATTTGATATGAAAATAATATTTGATGCGATATTTTGTGAGAGGAAAAAATGTATTTTTTTCGGAAAACGCAGAGTTAAAATAGTAAAATTTGGAAAAATTATGCTTAAGAAATATACATAAATAAATAACCTTAATTAGCAATTAGTCAAATAAATAATACTCAATCCGTCCAGCTAGAAAGTATACATATTTCTATTTTGGGACGTTCAATTACAAAGTAAATATTTTATTAAATACCTTACTTTTTCCACAAATATCCCACATCGTTACTTTTACATCAAAAAGTAAGACCAAAAATATCATTACATAACTTTTAACTACCAATTATAATTAAAATACTATTATTCGCATGATTTTTGAAATAGAATTTCCATAATTAAGCAAAGGGCAATAATTGAAATGGAAAAACACATGGACGGTGTCGTCAAATCAAGAATCAATAATTGTTCATGCATGGAGCAAAAACAGAATATGCATAGATGTTATGATGTTGAGGTTAAACAGAAAAGGTTAGCGTGACCCCATAAAAAATGGCACTTTATGGAATCACAGAGACGACACCAAATTATTAAACCACACACCCACCATAATACACACATACAAAATATATATATATATATATATGCACACATACACTGCCATGAACTAAAAATAAAATAAAATAAAAATTAAGATTAATTAGCCGTACCTGTAATTTATTATTATTGTTATTGTGATGATCACTCAATCCACAGCTCATGGTTTCTGCCATAACAATAAAAACAGATATCAGTCATCTCGTCTTCAATTCGTTAACTAAAATTTCTTTCTAAAATTTGTTCTTTTTGTATTATTTCATTATAATTTTTTTTTCTAGAAACAAACAAAAAAAAAAAATAGTAAGTAAAAGAGCTTGTAAAAAAAGAAATCATGCATTTGATTAGAATTAAGCAAGAGATGAGATGGTAAAGTAAACTAACCAGAGATGGAGTTGGGGTTGGGGTGATTGACATTGTGTGTTTGTGTGGTGCAAAATCCATGGAGAATGAAGCACAAGATCAAGAAACCATAAAAATAAAAGCAGCAGTAGCAATCCATCATCATAGGACTTTTTCTTCTTCTTCTTCTTCTTCTTCACTGCACCAACAAAACATCAACTTTCAGATCCCATTATAGATATAGATACAGATTCACAGTGCTGATTCTTTGAAGGCACAATTAAAAGCAAAGGGAGGGAAGAATGTTTTGGTAGCAGACACCCTACCCTACCCTACCCTACCCTACCCTGCACAAAGATGAGATGAGATGAGATCAGAAGCCCTTTTCAACTGCTACGTACTATTTTGTGTTCTTGGCATGGGATCGATTCTATATATATGTGTGTGTGAGCAAAGCAATAGCAGAAAGGGGGGAGACGGGTTTAGGATGTTGTCATAAAAAGAGAAGATCAGATCGATGTTGTAAAGAGTATTTGGGGGAGGGGGAGACTAGCTAGCCACCTATGCCCCAAAGCAAAGCAAAGCAAAGAGTACTTGGAATTGTAATCAATGTCTCTCATCTTGCACAACCAATAAAATAAATAAATAGTAGCAAAGTAAAGTAGTAGTAGCAATTCATTCCTAGGGTTTTGCCATGTTTGGATGTGAGAGAGAGATTTGGCAGGCAGGCAGCAGGGACAACCTCTTTTTTTGATCTTTTACTTCCCTGTCTGTCTATCCACAATTCCCAACAGGGAGGATAGAGAGAGTGTGGAATAGTAGAGAAAGAAAGAAATAAAAAGAGTAGGCACTGCTTCCCTTCCCTCCCTTCACTTAACAACTCTCGCCATTTTCCCAGGCCAATTATAATCCACTCATCATTTATTTTTATACATACATACACGCCTCTCTCTCTCTCTCTCTCTCTCTCTCTCTCTCTAGCACTTGCTGTGTATTTTTCTGCTCCTTTCTCTCTGCTGTATCTATCAACCAAACTGATCAAGCAAATTCAATTTTGGATTTTTATTTAGTAATCTTATTTTTCACTCCCTTCGTCCCAAACAAATGCAACATTTATTTTTAACACAAATTTTTAGATGGTTAGTATTAAGTAAGATAATTTAGAAATTAGGTGACGCGATGGAGAGAGAAGTATATTTTTTTTTTATTTAGATGATGTGAGGGGATAAAGTATGGGCAGAGATTAAGTATAATTAATTATTTTTTATTTTGGAAATATTGCAGAATATTTGAGACATAAAAAAAAATGTTGCAGGTGTTTGGGACGAAGGGACTACAAAATAAGAATTTTCTGGATTTTGAAATTACTAATTAAGTATAATTATGTGTTTTATATAATTCTTGTGTATATATACATTTATATATCAAGTTGCATCTCTGTAGTGCATATATATACATATATATACTTAGATGTATACTTTAATTTTTATTACTTTGGCTGTAATTAAAATTGTACTAGAGTTCCAAGGTAAACATCCTTAGATTGTGTTAAAAAAAAAAAAAAAAAAAAGTTCAAAAATTAATTTTTCCTATTAAAAAAGTAAAACTTTTCTTCTCAAATTTCAGAGATTAATATTTCAATGTTTTCTCTCAATCCATTTCTTCATAGATCACTTGGCAATAATGATGGCCTTCGACAACTTCAATTTTGTTTAAACAAGAATTTTAGAAGCTTTAAAAATTTTATCATAGTAAAAAAATTGTATATTTGATATAATCAATTATATATATATAATTACTATCAAATTTGTATATATATATATATATAACACAAAGCCTTCAATACAAAAGTATTTTTCTTGTTTAAAATAAAGTAGAGTGAAATGAATACACCATGGATTTTAACATTATTTATGGGTGGTGAGTTTCCTCACTTCATTTGAATCTAGAGGCTTTGGTATTTACCTGTGTCAAAATTGAAAGAAAGATTTGTTGTTGCTGTTGTTTTATTATTTGTAGTATTACTATTAGATTCCAAAGGCAAAAGGATGTAGACAAAACCATTCAAATGATGGTACACCCAAATGCACACCTACATGCACTTTGAGGGATTGATTGCTTATACTTTACTGCTTACAGCGACTACCCGAAAATGCGCACGGAGTAAACTATCCTACAAACTAGGCTTCGACAGACAAATTACACTATGTCAACCATATGTCACAGGTGACCTGTGGCGTCGGAGGTGACGCCAATTTTACACACAAACAAATACAGACACACATATATATATATAGTTTTGAGCTGATTTATAATGACATAATTTATTTATTTGGTAATTAAAATGTGAAAGTGTATATGTTGTCAGTATTGTAGTAAAGCATGAGAAACAGAAGAAAGATATAAATGACAAAAGGTGTCAATAACTCAGGCAGATTATGAAGAAAACCTTTTATGTGTAATGTATGTTATCCTTTGGTATTTGTTTGTTTGCAGTGGTTGGAAGGGTAAAACTTAACCCGACCTGAAATAGTTGAGTTTGGATTGATAATTTTTAACCTAATTAATAATTGGATCAAATCCGTTTAATTCATTTAATTAAATTGATCAGATTTAGATTCAAATTTTTAACTGAAAATAATTTGTCTAACATGTTTAATTTATATTATTTCTTTTTTTCAAGTTTACCAATCCAATTCAAATATTCAAGGCCAATTTTATAAAAATAAAAATAAATAAAATCTAGGCTAGAATTCTACAAATTTAGGGTTGAACAAAGGTAAGATTTTGATTTTTTTTCAATAGATTAAAATGTAAAATTTATCGTTCAGATCAAAAGTTTTGTAACTCATTTATAGCTGACCCGAACCGAATCGGACCTACCTGATTCTTTTGCCTGCTGTACTGGTAATGGATGCTCAGGGTGAGCCCTTTCATCACTCACTCACTCATTTGTTGTATTCTTCACCACCACTATATTTTGTATTGTATCTCCTCCATTTCTCACACCAACCAACCTTCTCACCTACTATAACAGTAGTATTTCATTTGGGAATCAATTTATTTAATAGCCAATAAAATGAATACAATACAAATAAAAACACCCTGGCCTGACCTGGTATTTATTTGTGCCTGTCAATAATGTAAGAGACATCTCTGATCAATCAATACCACAGTGGTAATATTATGAGTTGGGGCTCAGAATATATCTAAATATGAAAGGTAAGGATTAGGTAGGAATGGTTCAAAAACCTTTAGTAGTTTGGACATTGAAGAAGATCGAGTCTGCAAAACTAAATAATGGCAAAATCATCGTCGCAACAACACCAAAAAAACACAAAGAACCAGTAGAACATGTGTTAAGTAAAAGGTTTGTTACGCCCGAGCAGCAACAGGTGGTCCTCCGGGGCGTGGAGCTTGGCCTGGCCTTGGCTGATCGTCCTGTAAATTTTGGAATAGGAAGACAGTGAGTAAAATGTAGTGTGGTTTTTGAAGGAATAAAATAGGCTCAACTCAAGGATCAATATATATATGAAATAAATTAGAGATAAATTAGACCATATAGGGATATTGTATCAAAAGGAGAGTTAAGTTCATAAAAACTCGCTTGATGTATCTATTTAGCCAAATACTTATCAAGGCAAAAAACACAGGCAACGAAAGTCCATAAGCCAATACGAGAAAAATACAGCTTCACTTTGCGGAGCATGAGGAGCAGATTTTAGTATGATCCTACGCAACATACCAACTAATTGCACGACCCCTAGGGTGCTCAAGAATTCAACAATAGAGACATCACAAAGGCCCGCAGTCAAATCTAAAGCATAAACTTGCCGCAGTCCGACACAAAAAACTAGAATTAAATTTCCATAGGGACTTATCAACCTCATGTTGAAAGCTTTATTTTCCCCAAGTCCTATGTAGTGCAAAGTATGGTTGTCATTAAGGGGCAGCAACCAACTATGTGCAAAAAATAAAACAAACCGTGGATATCTATAACAATGTTGAGTCCTGAGTTGGTTAAAGTTACACACAAGAACACAAATGAAGATAAAATATCATACTCCATTATATGAAAACAAAATCAACTCCCATTAATGCTACAGGAAGAGCGATATGAACTAACCCTTGGGCGCCTGAAGCGCTGCGGAGGCTCACGAATCCTCCTGTCAGTACGGGATCGAACCCTCACAACTTTGGAGTGAATAGCACATGAAACACAGTACTGCATCTTTAAGTACAACTTAGGAAGGGTGTATGCTGCGTGGGTTACAAAAGCAAAACACTTTACATTATCTACTATTTCGAAAATATTGTAATTAAGTTATTCAAGTGCAAATAAAAAACTTACTATCAAAAGCACAGGCTTCCTGAACATCCCTTACAGCAGCTTGCTCAACAATATTCCTCACCAGAAACCTCTTAATTGCTTTGTCCTATCATCATATAAATTCACTAGTTTATATGATAACTTCACAAATAGGTGCTTTATCAAACTGGAAATTAAAAATCCACGCCTGCCGATTCAGATCATTGAACAAACAAAGCTACTGTAAATTAGGCAAAAGTTTACTGTTACTTGCAGTTGGCTAAAATCATGGAGCAGAATCTAATTGAACTTAATCATAAACTGATGCTAAACGGCTTTGAGTACTTATTCAAAATTCAAACATAACCAAAAAAGCGAAGTCAAAAACCTTTCAAAGGATGTCTCTATAGCCTACTATATGCTATATATCTATTTGTTTTATTCAAAAATTATCCTTGCTCTAAATGAATCTGTAACAATATTTTTCCTGAACATTAAAAGAAAGCGTCAGAAATAACATTCTAGTGAGTTCACTCTTCATTTCAGAGTGGTCTAAATTCCAGGGCCAGTTCATTCAATTAATTTCCCAATCCAAATTGCGCAACTTCTAACCATAAAACAGATCTGCTTCGGCATATGCTTAAATCTTAAAAATAAACTGATAGGGCAGATTTCTCTTCCTAAAAAGAAAAATAAAAATAAATAGTGATATTGAAAGGTCGAATCAAAAGACGCAACAGTGATTGATATATGGATAGAGTAACAGCTTAATTCCGATACGTTCCTCAAATCGTTTTATCTGCGGAAAATAGACACACCGCCATTGAAAAGAAAATAGTAAAAATAAAAAATAAAGGTAAAACCTTGGGGCAGCATTTTCCACAATTAGAGCAACGGATGAACTTGACATGGCCGCGCCCATGCTTGTTGCGTCCTCCATTCCTCCTTTTGAATGTCTAAAACACAAGAAGACATGTTGAGAACAGAAATCGAATGCCATGGACAAATTTTGGAAGAAATTCCTACCATCTTCGCTTGATTCCTGGATTCTGGAAAGTCGGTTCGCCTGCTCACGCTGCAGTCTGCAGATGGCTGAGATTTTCACTCTAGCTTGAATATATCGAAATCCTAGGGCTTATTGGGCTGATTATTTAGTCGAATTGGGTTCACTTTTGCCCCCACCCAACACAGTCCATTAAAACGGAGTGGAGGGGAATGGGTTGTTAGAGCGGTGTGAAAGTTAAAACCCTCCATTTGCTTACGTGTATCCTACGTGTCAATTATAATGTTTTATGTATTGATTTTCATTTTCCAAACAAACACAGTAGCTCTTTTTTTCGGTCATTCGTAATTCTTTCTCGCAATATTCCTCGCACACAATATTCACACCCAATTGTCCCCAAATCTTTCATCCCAACCGGCGATTCATCCCAATCAAACCTGCGATTGCCGGCGTTTGAAGGAAGTTGGCGACGGAGAACCTGTACCCTATCGATCTTCCAATCTTTGCCAAACCCTTCGTCCCAATCAAACCGGCGATTCATCCCAATCGAACCGGCGATTGCATCTGAAGAAGGTGGGCGACGGGAATATAAAAGGGTTTGGGGAGAAGAGAACACCAAAGTCTGCAATTGGGGGGGAGAGAGAAGGGCAAAGAAGAGAGATGGGGAGAGAGAAGGGCAAAGAAGAGAGAAGAGAGAAACGATACCGTCGATGATGCCGTCGCCTGCACGAGGACTGACTCGATTTTTAATCGAAATTTTATGGTTGAAATTTAGATCAGTGGGGATGAGATTTTTCGAAGGGAATAAGAAAAGGTTCGAGACAGATGAGAAGTCCTTCTATTTATGTGTCGTTGTATATGCTCTTAGCGACCGGGGATCGCATCCCTACCCAAGGCAATTGAATAGCATCACTTTCATATTGACTATCAACTATATACTAATTAATATTTTTAAATATGGTTATGTTTCTTTCGGCTCAAATCCCCATTTTTTTTTTATTATTTGAATTTTTTATTTTTTAAAATTTTTTTTTTTCATAAAATATCTCATAAAATATTATTTTAATATCAAATTCAAATTCAAATTAAATTCTTCCTCAAACTAAACAAAATAAATACATCTATATATATATATATATAAGAAATTTTAAAATGAAAAGAAAATCAGAATTTAGACTTACTATATTTGGTACCAATATTTTAAAATGTACTAAAATACTCAATTAGGCAATTACCTAATATTTGGTAGCAATTTTTCTCTAATTTTTCTGTGAATTTACTATGAAAAAAAATTCAACCTACAGAAAAGGAGACAGCAGAACACAAACAAATCATTATTAAAATAGTAAAATTAAAATTAAAATCTTACAAATAAATCATTATTAAATAATAATAAAATATTACTATTAAAATATTTTTTTATTACTTTTTTAGTCTCACATTTATGTTTTTGTCTCTCATATATTATGTCATTTAAAAGAATAAAAACTAACACTTTAATCTCATTTTAAATTTTATAACTTATAATTTTTAAATATAATTAGATTAAATAGTTATTTTAATTTTAATTTATAATTATTCGTATTATACTATAATTACTTTTATTAATATAATTTTAATTATTTATTAATCATATCATATTGTATTCACGTATCTACAATAACTGTGACACATCACATGAGATGGATGAAGCATAAAATAAAAATAATACTTACACAAGCATCGCATCAATTCTCTTTCATCTAATAAAAAAATTAATCATTGCATCCAACATAATCATTAAAACTTAAAACCTTACAAATAAACACACTTTAAAATATAACCATCAAAATCTCTCAAAACAAATACCAAAATCAAAATAAAAAATGCTTCAATTTTTTCCGGAAGCGGATGATTAATCATCGAATTTCTTTTACCGGAGAAGAAGCAATGTCGGTATCTTGGGAATAAGCATGAACTAACTCTATGCCAGTTGCAGTGAGACATATGACGCAAAACATTCATAGTTTGGGTGTCATGACAATTCAAAATTAATGCACTTATTTTTCAAATGAGTTTTATTATATACCCATTTCAATTTCAGTCTAATCGAAGGGGATTCATGTTCTTACTATAGGATCGTATAAACACACCCGATGTTCAACTTTGAATTTGGAAAGTTATTATAAATAAATCATTTTGTTTGTTGAGATATTAAAAAAATACAATTCTCTAATACTATCTAACACGAAAATTAAAAACAATACTCATTCTGTCCCAAAAAAAAAAGTGTCTTAGGTCAATGTAGATATAAAAATTTAGGTAAATATAATTATTAATTAATTAAGAAGTGTGTTAATAAAAATAATTATTGTATAATAAAAATAATTATACATTAGTTTAATTATACAATAGTCCCGTAAGGAATGACTGTGTGGGAGTGACTTATGACCGTGAGGTTACGGGTTCAAACCCCCAACGTCTCTAGGTCACTTGTCATACATGGTTCCCCTAGTATGACTTGCCTTGTCGACCTAGTTTGCAGAGTATTAGATTCAGTCGGGGGTTTACCCAATGCACATTTTCGGGTAGCGGCTACAAGTAATTATATTTCCAAACAAGAAATGATAAATTACGCAAGACGAACGAAAATAGAAAAAATGAACACTTTATTTGAGACGAAAGAAGTACAAAATAAAACACATGTATTTCAAATAAGTCTATTTATAGTTTAAAATTCCTGTGGTAATATTTATGCTATAGTAAAATATTTTATCTACAATATATGATATAAATAAAATTTTAATGTAAAATTAGCACTTAAAAATATATATATATATTTTAAATTTAAAGCATAGTATATGCTATATATATAAAAATGAGTGCATTTACTTGTAACATTTTACATTATAATAAAACAATTATTTAACAAATAAATTTTACGAGAGACTTTATTTCTCTCGTAAATACTAACGGGTTTAGTGAATGAATGAAATTGACCTTGCTGTGCAACAAAGTAATTTTGTAAAGAAAATATTTCTTTTGCAATTAACAAACATAGTTTTCGATAATCTTAGATCATCTGCATCAAAGGAAATTTTTGTTTCCACATCATTTCTTTTCTACATATTAATAAAAAAATCTATATATATATTTACATCAAAATTATTTATTTTTAAAAAACTCAATATATATATATATATAAAATAAAGAATAAAATTTTATATAATATAATAAGAAAATATTTAATATTTTTTTTGTTACAAAATATTAACGTGGAAAAAAGACATTCCCATGCAGATGGTCATATAATCCCTTGCCAGTAACTAGGGACTTTGTGAAGAATTTAAATTTCTTCACAAAAGGACAAATTATTTATTATTGTTTTAAAACAAAACTAAAATAAATCATAACCCTAGTTCAATATTCTAAACCCAAACTCAATTACACTGATCACTTCGAAAGAAATTCCTCGCACATCACCGTTGTCGCTAGCCTAGGGATGGTTCGGTACGGAATACCGTACCGAAACAGTTATACCGTATATAGTACCGAACTATTTGGTACATTAAAAAATATACTAGTACCGTACCAAAAATTTCGATATTTTCGGTACGGTACCGGTATTTACCGATTATATACAATATCGGTATATACCGGTTATACCGAAATTTATCAAAAACAAAAAATTGAATTTAATCCTAAACAATACATAAAAAATTTAAAAGTATAATTAATCAATACAATCAAATAATTGAAAATATATATATATATATATCTTTCCAACATCATAAATCAATCCCATTAGGACAATCTCATTCAATAATTCCAAATACATTTCACAATATCATTCCAAATACTACAAATCAATCTCATTCGGCATTCCATATAAAATTCACATTCAACCATAATCAAATATTTGGAAAAAATATATATATATTCGAAACTTGCAAAAATTTCAGTTTTATTCAAGAATTCGACCATAATCTCTTTCAATCGCCTCAAAATTCTCCACACACATGAACTCAAAAAAAATAAAAATATATCTAAATAAAAAATTCAATTTAAAATACAATTTGAGCATCCAATTCAAAATAAAAAAATACACTTCAATACCTGACAATCCAATGCTAAATCCGATGAATATGTTTCTTCACAAGTCAACTCCAAAGGTTAAATATAACATCTTAATGAATAAAAAATAGTAGCTAAAAGAATTAAAATAAATTAAAAATAACAGCTCAATCGAACTTTATATAATAGCGGAATGAATTAAAAATAAAATCACTTATTTTGCAAATAAGGGAATAACTTACCTTGAAAAAACAACACTTAAATACTTCAATATGCTATCATGGTCATCGCTAACACTTAACAACAATACATGGAATTTTCATCACGATATATTAAAATATTTTAATAGGCTTAATAAATAAAAATTATAAGACTTACAAATTTATTAAAGAGACAAACTTTCTTGGGCCGAAATCAAAGTTAAAGAATGATCTTGAATATCTTTTGTACCTATAAAAAAGACATAAAATTTTATTAATACATTGGACAAACATAAATAATTTTTAAATTAAAATTACTTAAACATAATAATACTAATTGAATTTCTTACCATTTCGATTTCTTCAATTTCTTTGTAAAATTCTAGATCATCATCGGTTGGATCTTCATAAAAGCTCATCTCATCGGCTTTCAACCAATCACTAGTGCACACTAATGTTTCTATCATTTTAGAACTTAAATTACTTGTAAAATAATTAACAACTCGTTTTCCAAACTAAAAGCGGACTCACTAGCCACCATTGAACTTGGAATTGCAAAAACATCCTTAGAAATTGTTGAAAGAATAGGATACTTAGTTTCACTTCCCTTTCACCACTCCAATAGATTGAAACATGAATTAGATCATTTGTCAATATCATCCGCCAAATATTTGTCCACTTCATTAGATATCTCTTCAAGATGATCTTTTTTATTTTGTGCATTCACACATTCAAATAATTCATCACAAAGGCCACAACCACCGATGATGCCGAAAAAACCATCTCCACTATTGCACTTTATCTCCATATTATGTCCCCTCACAGTTGAAGTTTCATTTATTCCCTTATATTTTGTCCACAAAATTAGCAAATTATTCTTAACAGTATCAACAACTTCTTGAATCTTTTGAGAACTTCATTTCAATATCTTAATGCT